AAATGGAAAGATTTCTTCTCCTCCACCACCACCCACCCGCCGTTCTTTCTCTCAAAACTACAATTACAAGAAAACAAAAGTCGACCAGCATCTGCTAATGATTTATACAATAATTCTTAGGTCTCTGAATATATCTGGAGAAGAATGAACTCTGAGAAAAATAGAAAGAATATGTAACTTCTTATAAAATTTGAGCATGACACAATCAGTGTTACTTTCCCCCAGTGGAGAGGAGAGTTAAGCACATATTTAAAGAATCCCTTCACCTAAATGGTTGGGATGTTAGAAAAACCATATTTGGATGAATTGTACCATGTGTTTTTTCATCTTGGTTAAATTCGTCTAGCATAGCACATTGTCATTATTTAGTTGCAATATTTTCTAGACATTTTTCTATGGAGGAATAAAGTTGCATAAACCATCCAAACACTGATCTTTTAAAAACCAGATATCAATCTCAATTTGATCTAGTAAAAGTTTTCCTGTGCCTTCCTGTTCCATAAATACGTTATTCATTGTCTGAGAGATGGGGGTTAATCTTATTATCTTCACTTAGTTATGTTAAGTCTTTACTTTCAGGAATACTAAGCTCAGAATTCCAATACATTCCAAAATGTCAGAAAATTCCAAGAACAAACTGAAGCCCAAGCTTGAAAACACTGTTATGGAATAATAAATTTGCTCATTTTTAAGTGGCACAAGACTCAAGTTCAGCTGCAAATGCTAATTCAACTCTGAACATGAGTGCCAAATTCTCAAGCTACATCAGAACAAACTCAAATTTTTTGTTCAGTGTTTCCAGGAGCAAGAACATGGCCCATCTTAAAAGGTGAGCTTGAGTGTGTGTGAAGGGAGAGAGGGAAAGGATCAAACACATTACATCTAGGCCACTGTTTCTCAACCTTAGCTGGCTGAGGAATTCTGGGAGTTGAAGTCCAAATATCTTAAAGTTGCCAAGGTTGCAAAACACTGAGCCAGGCAATGAGATGGCAGCCTGCATTTTTCCTCATTACATTCTTCCCTCTTAGTGTTCACCTTCTTCAGGAAAAGAGCTTAGATTTAGGAAATAGCTCCATCTCCAAAAAAGTGCTTAGAGTGTGTAAAGGGCAAACGCAATGCCTGTCTGCAGCTCTTTAAAGCAGCTATGTCTTTTTCTGAGATTGCACAGCTGCCCTCTGCAGCTTCTGCATGATGCCAGAAAAAGGTGTGGCTGTTTTTAAGACTGTAGATAAGTGCTCCATTCATAACTCTTTTTGGAATTAAATCTAAGGCATTGCACAGCCCTAAATCCTAGGCATTTGAGACACTGTAAAAAATAGCTCACTTTATGCATACTTTGAACATCCTAAACAGTCTTGCACTAATTTGGGGGAAAAAAAGAGGAGAAGGAGGATGTCTGGAACTGTAGACTTAGAGCCCCAGCCCAGTGACGGCAATGGTATTTACTTCAGTGTCTCTTTTCCTGGGATAATCAATACAAGACTCTTAAGATCTTCTAAATCATGTGCACAGAAGAGTATAAACCATGCAAATATGCAAACAAGCAAAAACCCCAAAAGCAAGGAAGACATAGGAATGTCACTTAAAATTATGCATAGACTATTATTCATCTTTAAACATTTCATTTAATCATTAAATGTAATTTTCAAAAGGCAGACTTAAATTAATCTACACAAGAGCTTATTCTAGTCTAGGATTGCAGAGTTTATTCTCTGCAAAGTAAACAACCACAATAAAGAATAAGAATGTTCTGCCTATGCTTCCTCTTAGCTACAATTAAGGAGGCTTGAAACATTTTTCAACTTCTCTGAAAGCAGCCTTCCTCTTGCCAAAGTTTTGATCTCTCTGGAGCCTGAAGGATTGGTAAGGGGAAGACGGTCAAAAGACCAGTGTGAGATATCACAAAATGGACCAACGACCCATTTGGTCTGCCCAGAAGCTAAAAACCAAAGTAAATACATTGCAATGAAAGCATGTAACTCTTGTAGCCAATCATATGGTTAATATAGTTCCAAAATGATGTTCTATCTATACCAAGACGATGCTAAAGAAATTCAAAACACAGCCTTATATTTTTTTTCTCTTTGCACTACCATTATATATGTATAGACACAGAAAAATCTCCCCAGCAGTAACATCCTACATACAGAAACCCAGACTTTGCAATTTTAATCAAACTGAAATGTCTGATTTCATAGTGATCCTGTTATTCAACAATTCTATATGTTGTATGCATATGTGAAATCTCCCTTTCTCTTTCACACTGCACACACACATACACTTGGTCCCTCTTCACAAAGTCACAGCAAGGCCAATATAGAACAAGGCAGCAACCAGCCTCACTTCTGAGTCTGCTCATAACATCTGCAAGAAAACCCCACCAGAATCTCTAGATGCTTTTCTCTTTTGGCACTGCAATTAAACTCTTGGAAGTTGACCTTTCTGATCCCTTATTCAACTGCAGAAACTTGAGGCTCTCTGGACCCCAAAAGTTGTCGCAGCCAACCCACTGTCAAGACAGAATGTTTCATGTATAAGCCACTTAAAAGCACAATTGTATGCATGTGTACTCAGAAGAACATTCCCATAAATTCCACAGGACTTACTCTTACTTATTAAGTCTGTCTAGCTTAGCAGCTTTGTAGTTTAACCATAATATACAAGACCACAGCACAGTACCAGAGACAGGAACAGAGTGAGATGATTCTAAACTGCAACTGAGTCCACTTAGTGAAGGCAAACACATTCAGGCTTCACATATCCCAAGATCATTAACTAAACTGACTTAGAGAAGAATTCCTGAGCCTAAATGCATATGCAGTTTACTGGGACCACAGTATGATGTCCACTGCACATCAAAAGCCAGGGAGAATTCATGACCTGCTAATCTTTAAAACTGCTTGAGACATCAGCATCTCTAGCAAACGGAACCCAAACATTTGTGATACAAGTGACTGCACTAATACATCCTGCCAGCTTTCTTTACTAACACAGCTGGTGTTGAAAATCAGATTCTATGTATCCAAATGCAATTATGGAAAGATCAACAAGCACAACATAGGAAGAATTACCTGTTTTAAATCACATTTTCTACATTTAACTAAGTACAAAAGGTAACAGACGTTGTCATGGCTTAGCAGCCTGTTAATCAGAATCTAAACAACTTCTCTCTGAAGGGCACCCAAAAGATGCACCATCTGCTCTGCCTATCCATTTCTCTCCTCTCCACATTTGATAAATACAGGAATCCCATTTTTGGCAGTGTTTTCAAGGAATTCAGGATTCCCTTCCTCCCCACCCCCCACCCCCTTTAAGCAGGGCAATATCTTTTTAGGAAAAAATGCTAGCCCTTCAGCTAAGAAGCATTGCCTGCAAACATTGTATTCCTGCAGCCCAGGAAATAATGTAATTTCTCAGCAGTTACAGCAAATGCTGTCTGTTCCCAGTCAGGGGACTTTTCACCTATTCTACCAAGTTGAAATATTTCTGAGTTGAGCTTTAACCCTTAAATGAATCAATGTATCACAACCTGACCGTCAAAACTAAAAAGGTGAGTCCTGCTTCGTGACAACTCATGCTGCAATAACAGAACGTTCTCTCAGGTGCTGCAGGACTTCTTGGCATCAAAGGAAACTCAGTTCTGCACTAACTCAGACCATCTAACTAATGCAGCTGGAAGCAACATTTCCCGGGACTCCAGCTGTGACAGTATGTCTTTGCCACCTCCGCTAACGTCCTTTCTAGCCAAATTGCCAGGGACGGCCCAGGAGATCCTTCCCCTTCAAGAGGACACCCTGCCTCCTGCAGCAGCAGTGACCAAGCTGGGCACCTGTGCCATCCCCTGCCAGGCACGTCAGGTGGGGCAGAAATATCCCGTCATTCAGAAGCCAAGGGCCCGCGTTCATCTTCTGGACTGCCGGAGTCAAGGGACCGGGTGGCCCCGGTGTCAGCAAGCGGAACCCTCCAGGTGCCCGCCCGTGCGTGGCGCCAGAAGAGCCGCCCCGACAGCTCCATCTGGAAAGCAAAATGGCTGTCTGATGAGGCTTTACAAATAGCTGTGGAAAGAAGGAATGCGAAAAGCAAGGGTGAAAGGGAAAGATATAAGCAACTGAATGCAGATTTCCAGAGAATAGCCAGGAGAGATAAGAAGGCCTTCTTAAATGAACAATGCAAAGAAATTGAGGAAAACAATAGAATGGGGAAGACTAGAGATCTCTTCAAGAAAATTGGAGATAACGTTTAGTGCAAAGATGGGCATGATAAAGGACAAAAAAGGCAGGGACCTAACAGAAGCAGAAGAGATTAAGAAGAGGTGGCAAGAATA